GAGAAGAAAGCTGCCTGATCTGAATGCAGAACAGATAAGAGCTGGATCTAGGGGGCAGGGAATAGAGTGAGACAAGGAGCCTTGGAGATGGGAGAACTGAACTGGCTGGGTAAAGAAACAGGGACAAAGAACCTGGTAGTCAGTGGGGACAGGATATGTGGGTGAGTGATTAGAGGCTAGGGGAAAAGATGCAAATCAGATGACGAGCCATAGGAATGGGGGGGAAAAAAGAAGGAATGCCTGGGAGTTAATGGGGGAGACTGGGATTGAGAGTCCAGAAGAGGAGACTAGGACTGACTGGGCAAGGAGCCTGGATGAAAAGACTGAGGTGTGGAGCCTGGGAGTGACTAGGTGAGGAGAATAGGACTGAAACAAGGAATCAGGGATGGGGAAGAGACGGGGCAGGGTAGAAGGGATCAAGTTTGAGGGGAACATACAGAAGAGTCTGTGCCCACTAGAGTACACAACCCTCCAAAGTCTGGAATGGAATACAAGATTCTCAAATTTCATTATTCCTCATCAGCAAATATCTATGAAACACACAGGGAAACTGTCACATTCCCATCTAGATGCTGGTCCACAGAGAGGATGATAACCTACTACTGCCATGAGTTACTCACTCCCTTAGCTCATGTAGTAGGAGGTTTTGTAGTGGGTGTAAAGGTTCCACCCCTGCTTCAATATGGGGGCATCAGTATGATTCCACATGATGGAATTTATTTTTTCCAGTATGCGTTTTTCCAAAAGCAAAGAAATTGCATGCACATGCACACAAACACACAAAACCATTCAGTTCCCCAACTTCCTGGAAGTCCAAATCAGACCTCAGAAGCACATGGAATGTGTTAACATCAAATGGCATGGATACAAGACAGCTCTTGTCAAAGAGCTCATCTGCTACAAGACTGTAATCACCAGCATCAAAAGCATCACCTGTCACAAAGTCATCAAGCTACTGTGGAAGGAGCAACCTGCCTCCTCTCTGGTGGTCCACACTGAACTCAAAGTATGGCACTTGTTATTAGACAATTCTAGCCCAGACTATAACCACATGGCACATCATATCTCCATGCTTGGCTCCGACATCATTATGGACACTTATCTGTTGTACCCTACACACCAACAGAAGATGCATCACCTATGAAAAATGACACATTCTATCAACAGCTAGCAGCAAAAATCCAGTCAACTCTGCCACATGACACACTACTAGCACTTAGAAATTTCAATGCTGTGACTGGGTGCGATCAAACTGGGTGCGATCGAACTGGGTATGAAACAGAGACGATCCTTCAGTTTGGGTTTCTCAAATGATATCACCACCGAGCTTTTTGGCATTTTATGCCATTGAGAGCTTATCTGTTATGGACTCATAGTGCAGGCACTTTAAAAACCATCACTGGGCATACCATGAGAGAAACTGACCACATCCTCATCAGAAACTGCTCCATAATGAAATTTCACTGAGTCTTCAGTGGTGCTAGAACACCATAAACCTCAGACCATAGACTAGTTGGCGCTGCGCACACTGCATTTTCCAACTCCTTGCAAGCCAGATGTCCACCAACAGTACAAAGTCTAGTGTCTATTTGAAGATCCTGTTGAAGCTGTGAAATACACACAGGCTATCATTGATCACATATGTACCCTCGGTACCCTCTCAGAAGATGTGGAGATCACCTGGAGTAGTATGTGTAACACTATATCACATGCCTCCACAGACAGAACCAGCTTCAGACGGTTCACAAGAAACCTTGTATTTCTGAAGAGGCCTTTGATATATTATCAAAAAAGGCAGAAGAGGAGGCAAGCAGGGAAATGTCCAAGAATGTAAATGACTGAAAGGCATTTTCTGGGCCATCGAAAAACATGACTGTGACAGCTACAGCTCCCTGGCTGACAAATCAGATGATGGCTTAAAGTACAACAACCTGCATCCTGCCTACAGAGCCATCACACACTTGGCTGGCAGCCATAAATAGCCTTCTAAAATCCTCATCACAAAGTCAGATGGCGCTCCTTCTGAGCCATCTTTTGAACCTTGGATCTGCTAACGACTGTCCAGAGCTACACAACCTGGCAAACCACACAACTGCAGACCTGGGGACAAACACTGATCTTCTGTTAATCAGGAAGAAAGAAAGGCCATCGCAAAATTACAGAATGGATATGCTGCTGGACCTGATGGTATTCCACCTGGGCTGCTCAAAGGTGCCTTGGAACCAGTGAGCATCAATCTGCATAAATTGTTGTTAAAAGTACGTGCATCAAGCAAAGTACCAACAGAATGGAAAGAGCATCATATGGTCCCAGTGCAAAGGCAAAAGATCTCAGAGCGTGGCAACTACAGGCCAATCTCATTGTTATCGGTCCCTGGAAAGGTTTTCACTTGTTCTGTTTAATAGGATGCAGCTGCTCCTTAACAGACATTGTAATCCACAGCAATCAGGTTTCAGTGTTAAATTAAATTAAATTAAATTAATGGAGATATCCCATCTCCTAGAACTGGAAGGGACCTTGAAAGGTCATCGAGTCCAGCCCCCTGCCTTCACTAGCAGGACCAAGTACTGATTTTGCCCCAGATCCCTAATTGGCCCCCCTCAAGGATTGAACTCACAACCCTGGGTTTAGCAGGCCAATGCTCAAACCACTGAGCTATTTGGGCAGTCAACAACAGACATGATCCTTACCCTCTGCATGAGCTGCACTGAAAATTGAACTGCCTGTTTCATGTGGCATATAATCAATATCAAAGCAGCTTTTGATCTGGTCAACAAGTCAGCACTTTGGCTCACATTGAAAAGAATTGGCATTTCAGATGTTTGCGGATGATACCAAGCTGGGAGGGGTTGTAAGTGCTTTGGAGGACAGGATTAAAATTCAAAATGATCTGGACAAACTGGAAAAATGGTCTGAAGTAAACAGGATGAAATTCAATAAGAACAAATGCAAAGTACTCAACTTAGGAAGGAACAACCAGTTGTACACATACAAAATGGGAAACGACTGCCTATGACGGAGTACTGCAGAAAGGGATCTGCGGGTCAGAGTGGATCAAAGCTAAATATGAGTCAATAGTGTAACACTGCTGCAAAAAAGGCAAACATTCTGGGATGTATTAGCAGGAGTTTTGTAAGCAAGACACAAGAAGTAATTCTTCTGCTCTACTTTGCACTGATTAGGCCTCAACTGGAGTACTGTGTTCAGTTCTGGGGGCACCATATTTCAGGAAAGATGTGGAGAAACTGGAGAAAGTCCAGAGAACAGCAACAATGATTAATGGTCTAGAAAACATGACCTATAAGGGAAGACTGAAAAAATTGGGACTGTTTAGTCTGAAGAAGAGAAGAAAACATGATAACAGTTTTCAAGTACATAAAAGGTTGTTACAAGGAGGAGGCAGAAAAATTGTTCTACTTAACTTCTGAGGCTAGCACAATAAGCAATGGGCTTAAATTGAAAAAAGGGTGGTTTAGGTTGGACATTAGGAAAAACTTCCTAACTGTCAGGGTGATTAAGCACTGGAATAAATTGCCTAGGGAGGTTGTGGAATCTCCACCATTGGAGATTTTTAAGAGCAGGTAAGACAAACACCTGTCAGGAATGGTCTAGATATTTAGTCCTGTCATGAGTGTAGGGGACTGGATTAGATGACTCTTGAGGTCCCTTCCAGTCCTATGATTAGAGTCCTACAAAATTCACAGTCCATTCTGGTCAATTTCACGGCCATAAATTTTGAAAATTAGTCAATTTCACATTTTCAGATGTTTACATCTGAAATGTCAGGGTATTTTAACTGTGGGTGGGTCGCAAACCTGTTGTGGCGGGAAGGGGGGTTGCAGGATTGCCACCCTCAGTTCTGTGCTGTCTTCAGAGCTGGGCTCTGAAGGTGGCAGCCACGGAGCTTCTTGCAGACACAGGAGGTTCCTGGAGGTGGGTCTGATCTCCCCCGAAGAGTGGACATGCAGGGAAAGAACAAGTCCTGTCCCTCTCCAGCCCGGGCAGTACTAGCAGCTGGGAGTTCCCGGCTGAGGCGCTCCCAGCAGCATGGGGGGTGGGGGGTGGAAATCCGATTTCAAAGAGTGAGGGCTTATTTCATCATCTGTGACACGTTTTTCATGGCCGTGAAATCGGTAGGGCCCTACCTATGATTCTGTTCTGCTAAATCTGGTATGTGATCCTCACACTGATAGTGTGTGCATTGATGCACTGCTTTTATCACTTTTCTACACAATCTTAGATGTACAGCACAGATATACTCTCCCCCCAGCACTATTCTGTTGAGCTATCCACTGGATATTAGGATTTGCTGCTCCACAATTCAGAATCAAGATTGGTCAAAAATGACCAAGAATATGTTGAAGACACTGCCTTACTTATATACATGTCAGAGAATTTTCAGCCCTGCCCTTCAGGGTCTCCAAGACGCCACCTGCAATATGGGGGTTAAATGTTTCATGGCAGAAGAACCTTGGAGCTGAGCCACCAAGGACTCAAAACTGCTTGGAAGTCACCAGCTTCAGAACAACTTCCTTTTCCCCCCTACTTTAAATAAAAAAAGGTCTGCAGTCACAAGAGAGTAAGTCTGGAATGTCAAGGTTGAGAGGACAAAATACAGAAACGGGGCATATTGGCTCTAAAATATTGAAAGCTTAACTATACTGTTTCCATGTTTTCACATCATGTAAGATTTTGGTACAGTAACTGATGAGTAATACCTATTGGTATCTTTATATATTATAGGTTGTACTGGTGTTAAGTTATTATATAAAAACAAAAGGCCTGATTCTGCCACCCTTCCTCACAGAGTAATACCTATTCAAGCAAATACACACTACTCAATGTGAGCAAGGATGACTGGGACCTTAAGTTAGTTCAAGACTGGCACTGTGTGCATGTATTTACAATATGCAATGAAATGATGCCAAGATGGGAAAAATGTCATTTTGGCACCACAACGTTCTGAAAACATACAGTTTTAAAAAGCCCATGACATCTACCTCAAATATTTGCTCAAAATTCTGGAATTCCTGAAATCTTGTCTGAAATCCTTCAGCTAGTGCACCACCTGCAAAGCATAATATTGATTTAAGGTAGATTATAAAATCTCACAGTAAGTTACTGTATTTTAACTTCTAAACTATACTCAGATGTTTTATGTACACATGAAGGGGAAGTAGGGTTCTATACATACCACTCTCTGGCATCCCTTGGGCCTTCTGCTTTCTAGCACTAAGAACTTCCTTGGCTGAAACAAAAAAGATGCGGTTCTGTGCTTCTGAGAGATCAACGACTTTGAGCTCATCAACTAGGAAGGTCAGACAGCGCTCCATGTGCTGCCTGCGCACCTGTTAGACGAGGCAGAAAAGCAGATGCAAAAAGCCAGTCAAACGGAAAACAAACATTTCTGAGAAAAAGAAATCAAAACCTTAGAGCAATAAATAATCCCACTAATCCCAGAAGCCCTGAAAAACCCTCATGTAATAAGATGCCCTCTAGTTCTAAAGAGGCAGCAGCTGCTCCTAATTAGCCATTTTGGATTTCCCCACTTGCCAAGAAGAATTTTTTGAGTATTCAACCAAAAGCTGATGCACTCAGAGGTACTGAAACAACAATTGCTTTATTACCCAAACACAGAGTATGATATATTGCATGCAAGTTACATGTGGAAATGGGGATTTAAAAAAAACCTACACACCTTGAAAGTCATTTTAAAAAGCCATCATTGAATGAAGGTTTTAGTTTGGTAATTACATTTGAAGCAGGTGGTAAAATGCTTTTGCATGCTGATCACATATCCTCCTTCCTACTTTTTTTTATTTTTTTTAAAAACACTGAACACACTCCATCCCCTGATTTGTTTTATGTATTATAATGTGCCCAATCCCATAGTATCTAGATACATTTACATGTTTGGCAATATTTTCCCCTATAGTTTAAATAAGCCATTGTTTCTGCTATAGTTATCTGACATTTGTTATTACCAAAGGATGAAAAAGTAACTCACATCTTCCATATATTCAGGCTCTGATGCAGACGCATCCCAACGATTATTCAGGATGAAGATGTTCGGCTTGGAAAGTCGTTCATTTACTTTGTGAAAAAAGTGCTTTTCCTAAGAATTGAGGAAAGAAAACAAAAACAAAAATAAAGAATAATGCCATCTTTTGAAGAGGATGGCAGATTCTGGATTATCAATTTATTATTTTATTGGTTAAAAAAAACAAAACACGGATGCTTTCCTCCTTCTTTCAAATTTAGCATTGTATATTAGTCCAAAGATCATGAATTACATTTAGATTTTATTGTTGGTAAAATCTTATCCAAGAGTTTCACAAGCTATAAAAAGTGGCACTAATTCTTCTCTGAAAAACAGACCTAAGATAAAACTACTTCATAATTTAAAAAGGCAAAGTCTCCCTTATTTGAACTGTCCTTTTACTCTTGCACATCCAACAGAATTCCGATGCTACATCCAGAGCTACTGTTCATATCAAACTAGATTCTCCAGTGCCTGTTCAGGGGGCATAACGAACCACTGAAAACTTAACCTGAACCTCCTGAATAACTGCTGAATTTTCCATGGGAAAATGAATAATACGCACATGTGCCCGAAAACATCTTCAAGTTATCTTGCAAGCCCCTGCTACTTTTCAACAGTCATAATGAATTAATCAAAACAGAGTGGCCACATCAGTTAGCACAACTGAAGAGTGAAAGATGACCTGGCCATCTTCAGATTCTCTGGACTTAAACAGAACACGGTCTACGCCATTAAGCTATGTCTACACTATGGGCGCTAAAGCAGCACATCTCTGGCCCCGCAGTTATGTGACTATGTAGTGCCATAGCGTAAACGCTTCTTACAGCAATGGAAAGGATTCGCCATCTCTATATGAACTCCACCACCCTGAGTGATGGTAGCTTGTTTGACAGAGCATTCCTCTGTCAACCTCACTGCATCTACACTGGGTGTTAGGCTTATGTAGCTCGTAAGCACAGTAGCTATGCCAACCTAGCCCCAGTGTAGACCAGGCCTTAGATAAAACATTTGAAATACTTAAATTGCTATGTTCCAATACAAAATTGTAAATCTGCAAATAAGGCACTATTACAACAATAAGAACTCCTTCCAACAGAATCCAGTGGCCTCCTTTTTCATAGAATCATAGAAGATTAGGGTTGGAAGAGACTTCAGGAGATCATCTAGTCCAACCCCCTGCTCAAAGCAGGACCAACCCCAACTAAATCATCCCAGGTAGGGCTTTGTCAAGCGAGGCCTTAAAAACCAATAAGGATGGAGATTCCACCACCTCCCTAGGTAACCCATTCCAGTGCTTCACCACCCTCCTAGTGAAATAGTTTTTCCTAATATCCAACCTAGATCTCTCCCACTGCAACTTGAGACCATTGCTCCTTGTTCTGTCATCTGCCATCACGGAGAACAGCTGAGCTCCATCCCCTTTGGAACCCCCTTCAGGCAGTTGAAGGCTGCTATCAAATGCCCCCTCATCCGTCTCTTCTCAAGACTAAATAAGCCCAATTCCCTCAGTCTCTCCTCATAAGTCATGTGCCCCAGCCCCCTAATCATTTTTGTTGCCCTCCGCTGGACTCTAATTTGTCCAAATCCTTTCTGTAGTGGGGGGCCCAAAACTGGACGCAATACTCCGTATGTGGCCTCACCAGTGCTGAATAGAGGGGAATAATCACTTCCCTCGATCCGCTGGCAATGCTCCTACTAATGCAGCCCAATATGCTGTTAGCATTCTTGGCAAAAAGGGTACACTGTAGACTCATATCCAGATTCTCGTCCACTGTAATCCCCAGGTCCTTTTCTGCAGAACTGCCGCTTAGTCAGTCGGTCCCGAGCCTGTAGCAGTGCATGGGATTCTTCCATCCTAAGTGCAGGACTCTGCACTTGTCCTTGTTGAACCTCACCAGATTTCTTTTGGCCCAATCCTCCAATTTGTCTAGGTCACTCTGGACCCTATCCCTACCCTCCAGCATATCTACCTGTCCCCACAGCTTAGTGTCATCCGCAAACTTGCTGAGGGTGCAATCCATCGCATCATCCAGATCATTATTGAAGATGTTGAACAAGACCGGCCCCATGACTGACCCCTGGAGCCCTCTGCTTGATACCGGCTGCTAACTAGACATCGAGACGTTGATCACTACCCATCGAGCCCGCCGATCTAGCCAACTTTCTATCCTCCTTATAGTCCATTCATCCAATCCATACTTCTTTAACTTGCTGGCAAGAATACTGTGGGAGACTGTAACAAAAGCTTTCCTCAAGTCAAGATACATCACGTTCACCGCTTTCCCCATATCCACAGAGTCAGTTATCTCATCATAGAAAGCAATCAGGTTGGTCAGGCATGACTTGCCCTTGGTGAATCCATGTTGACTGTTCCTGATCACCTTCCTCTCCTCCAAGTGCTTCAAAATGGATTCCTTGAGGACCTGCTCCATGATATTTCCAGGGACTGAGGTGAGGCTGACCGGTTTGTAGTTCCCTGGATTCGCCTTCTTCACTTTTTTAAAGATGGGCACTATATATTTGTCTTTTTCCAATCGTCTGGGACCTTCCCCAATCACCATGAGTTTTCAAAGATAAAGGCCAATGGCTCTGCAATCACATCAGCTAACTCCTTCAGCACCCTCGGATGCATTAGATCCGGCCCCATTGACTTGGGCATGTCCAGCTTTTCTAAATAGTCCTTAACTTGTTCTTTCACCACCGAGGGCTGCTCACCTGCTCCCCATACTGTGCTGTCCAGTGCAGCAGTCTGGGAGCTGGCCTTGTCTGTGAAGACCGAGGCAAAAAAAGCATTGAGTACTTCAGCTTTTTCTACATCATGTCACTAGGTTGCCTTCCCCATTCAGTAAGGGTCCCACACTTTCCCTGACTTACTTCTTGTTGTTAACATACCTGCAGAAACCCTTCTTGTTACCCTTCACATCCCTTGCTAGCTGCAACTCCAATTGTGCTTTGGCCTTCCTGATTACACCCCTGCACGCTCGAGCAATATTTTTATACTCCTCCCTTAGGAGGGAGCTATACAAAAAAATGTTTTGTGGTCCCTCCACTGGTTTTGCAGCAGGCCACTAAACAAAACTATTCCCCCACATACTATAATTGTATAAAGTGAAGATAATGCACACACAACGACAGGAATATCATGTAACTGCATTCTCTACTTGAACAGGAGAGATGTGCAAATGGGGGGCAAAAAAAGTCAGCATTTGCCACACTGGGTGAGGCAAGATATTTGATCGCATTAGAACAATTAAAATTTGTTTAACAAAGTCTTTCATCTCATTGCACCTGCAACGATAACAAAAATGTAAACAGGACAGGAGATTTTATTCCTAAAGAAGATGGGACATAAACCAAGATTTTATGAAGACTTTGTATTGGGATAAAAATCTCTAGATCACTACTAAATATATATATATTTTTAAATTGCCTCTTCCAACTGAAATAAGCTTCCGCTGCTAATTGTCTTCAGACCCCATTACCTATGTGCTGCGCTCATTAATAAACAAGGAATTACGTGTATGGTAACTCAAAGATTACATGACTTTTACACTCTGACAAGTTGTAGGACAATGACCCAATTTTAGGTTTCATATTTTTCTTCTGGGCCTGGTTGGAAAAAAAACCATTCAGCGAAATCATATTAAATAAGCACAAAATTGCTTATTAGCCAGGATGCTAAAAATCAAACACAAACTTAACAAGAATTTTCCTACAGATTTACAGCCCACACATGGTTCCTGCATGGTTACAATCCAAGTTTGACCATTAAAAAATAAGCTATTTTCCTGAATTAATGAGAGAACCAAATCAACTTTGGCCTGTGTTACTTCATTACCATTCCCAGGCACACAGGTCCTCATTGTTTCCATATTTCTAAGTGGTAATGGATTCTTGACAAAAATCCAACAACTTTTTTAAACCAACTGAACATTCAGGTTATTGATTTCTAGTCTCCCTCCACACGAAGAGCCAACATGTCCTGCAAGAGGATAGAATAGTGAAGCCACAGTTGTATCAAATCCTCTCTCTCTGCCTCAGATGATGTCAGAAGATACCTCTTTTGTCAGAAAAACTCATTTGTAAAGGAGTCTCCATGGTTGGAACTCAGAAAATAGTATGCAGTGTTTTAAGATCAGCTTTTGCTCTCTTCAGATTCCCATTCAGCTATTCCAACCTACTGGAATGCTGGGGAAGATTTTCTTTTTGAATTCATTTCTTTATTTCATTAATAGCTGATAGGGTAGTAGTAAGGGGAAGAGAAAGCTTACCTTCTTAGCACTGTCCTTCAGAAAGACAGATTAGATAAACTGATGACATGTATTCTTACAAGGGAAATTTACCCCCTCTTCAGTGCTGAGAACATACAGAAGAATTGAACAGAGATGCAGGATTTACTCCACACCTCTTTTGGTTAGGTTTAGTGTATGGATGCTGCATGCTGTTGGTGGCCTGTGACATACAGAAGGTCAGACTACATGATCTGGTTGTCCCTTCTGTCCTTAAATGCCATCGTCTTTTATATCTTCTTTCAATTTTGTGTATAAAGTACTTTAGTGCAGTCTGTTTCCTTGATGAGAACACTCTTATTGTTAGTCTTTTTCATCAGAGAATCTTGAGTCTCCTATAAAGTTGGAAAAGTATTACTGCCATTTTATAGATGGGGGAAATGGAGGCAGAAAGCATAAATGACTTTGCCTAGAGTCAGAGCAAATCAGCAATAAAGCTGAGAACAGAATGCTGATGCTTTAACCATTATAACACACTGTGCCCTTAGCCCCCAATAATCATGGAAAATTCACAGTATAAATTCTAGGAGGAAAGCAGAAGCTCCCACATACCAACAGACCTTGGGAAGTCATCCTACTGGATCCTTGTGCATTTAAGCGAAAGCCTAACAATTTTAATTAACAAGAGAATGTCCTACCGTATTCATGAGAGTTGATTCTGAATTAGCAACCAAGACAAAGACATCAGCATCTAAACAAAATTTGTCAATCCAGGTGTCTAGCTCTGTAGTGACATCTGTACCAGGGCTGTTGGAGAAAAACATATTTATCAATATCGAGAAAAATAAAGTTCTTCATTTTTAGAAACTGAACAAGAGGACTGGATGGTTCTGGGGCTTCGTATTGGGATGTGAAACCCTGATGAAATGCAGCACAAGCTGGTCATGACAGAAAGTAACAAACATCTGGCAGCTGTTCAGTCACTTATGTAAAACCAGTTGGTTGTCTCCATTCAGTTTCTAACAGACACATAACCACATCATAAAAGCCACTAATACAAATGAAAGACTGTTGCAAATCTCAGCAGAGAAGCCAAGTGCTGAATGGGCTAGAAGCATCAATTATTCTTTCATCCCTATGAACAGTCCCTCCAAGGGCAGGTTGAGGTGCACTGGTAAGAAAATATTGAGAAAGTTTTGTGAACACATCAAATCTTCAGAGTTGCCAAAATAGCTTAAAAAAAATTAGCATTAACCTCACTTACAAATTTTAAAAAGTCATCTCTATAAATTGCAAAACAAAAAATATCCTGTCACTAGTGTTCCAAGTTCCTAACAAAATGTACTTTCCCATGATTCTGGAGAGACATTTGGAAGATAGTCTCTCTCCATAGTTAAGGTTGAAAGTACCCATTGTAAATTTGATTTTTACTCCCACATTCCAGCCAAAATTAAACCCATCTGCCTCAAATCTTACAGGTATAATCTCAAGCGTAGGGTGGAATTTATCTGGTAAGTGTGAAATTATATAAGACATATTTGATGGATGAAAGTTCAAAAAGTAGGTCAATCTTATTTCTTGAACATTTTCTGAACATTATTTTTTGGTTTATCAGAACTACTAAACGTATTGGCCAAGAGAAATGGAAAGTTTCTGAACCCTGTCAAGTAATTAAATATTTATAAAGCCCTACTTAATTCACAATATTGCAGATCCTGCAATATTAGGCTTCCACCGCAATTTTCACAGCAGGAACCCCCGCTCCCAGCCCCGTGGAAAATTGCAGGAAAGTAATAAGGGACCATATTATCACAAATAATAAGATCCATTATTACTTTTACATGATTGTCCATGGCTTGTCCGCAACTCAGCTGCAATTTTTAGACAATCATCCTGCGATTAAAGTAGGGCCTTAATTATTTAGTTATTAGAAGTAGCTTTTGCACACAGAAAGGGCTCTGCAGAGGTCTTAACTTGACCTGAAGCAAAAGGTCCAGGGAAGGATGAAGAATTATATGTATGTGTAGGATTCAGGGCTGAGCAATCCGTAAGCTCCATGGACCAGCATGGCTTGCAAGTAAAGCTGGTCAAAATTTCCCATGTTTCATTAATTTTTTTGGAAAATTTCTTTAAAATTGAAAAAAAAAAATGATTTTTTCCCCCCCAAAATTTCTCCCCCACATAAAATGTGATAAATTTTTCAAACAGTTATAGTACTGGTGGAAAATTCCAAAGTTTCAACAACAAAAATTGTTGATATTTCAGATTTCAACCAAAAAAATAGAGCCTGTTTTTTGCTAAATATTTTTCCACTTTTTCAACCAGCTACACTTCCAAGTTCTGGAATCTCTTTGTAGCTTGCAAATGCAATAACGACTTGGAGGTAAGCATTCCTTCTACTCTGGAGAGGAAAAAAAAAAAAAAGAAAAGAAAAAAAAAAAGTTCCCAGGCAAAAACCTTCATTAAACACAAGTTAAGATAGTAAATTTCTAGCGGTTTCTTAAAAAGGAAGAATACTTAAAGCACAATTCTACTGTACAATGTAACTAGAAATAGCATTGTGAAGTCCCTTGTTTGTTATCTCTCAATCATTTCCCATTCAAATTTGCTCAATTTACTAATAAAAAGATTCTCCACCCACCCCCAGAAGCTTTGCAAATTCAATCTGGAATTTGAGAAACAAACTAAGTTCTCCTTCTCAGACTTCCGCACTAGCAACAAGGATTCTGATAGGCAATCATAACCTAAATTACCCCTATGCAACCCTATTGTCTTCAAATTGTGTCCTCAAAGACCACTGTGTACTCCCAGTGTGTTCAGTGGGGTTGCACAGGCGTCACTGAGGGCATAATACAGAGCTGCCACTTAATTACAATTCCATTGATGATGTGCAAGAAAAACAGAAGCCAGCTCACTCTGCCAACTGGGTTGCTCTATATTGCTTACACGTGGACAGATCCGGCATTCGAGGATGAAAATAACAATGCTCCCTCTGATTTCAAGGATATAAGATCAAAAGCACAATAATCAGTAGTAGTACTTCCCCCCCCCTCCCCCCCCATGGGTAGTGAGCAATGTGTACGCTGAATACACTCAAGCCTGGCCTGTACTGAAAAGTTAGGTCAACACAGCTATGTCACTGTGAGGGGTGGGGGGCGTGAAAAATCCACACCCCTAAGCAACATAGTTAAACTGACCTAATCCCCAGTATAGACAGTGCTTGGTTGACAGAAGAATTTTTGCATTGACCTACCTACCACCTCTCAGGGAGGTGGATTACCTATGCCAATGTGAGAACCTGTTACCACTGCAGCTGTGTTGCTGTAGCATTTCAAGTGGAGACAAGTTGTCAGCTGCTGAGTAATAAAGTGCCTTTGTTACAAAATCCCTCATCAGAGCAAAACCATATTGTAGTTTCTATGTACCACTTAAGAGGTGAAAAAAAATAAATAGGTAGTTTATATCCAGGATGGCAGGGGAATCCTTATGTATTCAACATGTTTGTAGAAAACCAGACACTACAGTCCAGAATTCTTTGATTCCACAAATAAGCCACATAATGTGAATTTAACAGCTCCACAGCCACAGGCTGGGGCCTTCAAAAAGTCTCTTTTTTAGGCATTTCTAGAATGCCATCTCTGTATTATCTCAGCACTGAAGTCCTTATCAAAAATCTTTTCCATCAAAAGTCCAGATTATCTATATTTTACATAAGCAGGAGGGGTTCACAGGATAACCAGGCTCCTGAGGGACAGGGAAAGAGTTACAGTTGGTAGGATGACCTTAACTGTATCACCATATTAGTTTGTTTTTTAAAGTATAAGCCTAACTCAGCCAAAAACTAGAGACCTGCTGAGCTCAATGATGGGACACACTCTCATACCAACTGTGGCTCGGCCAAAATATGTACAGTGGTTTGATGAGGACAGACCAGAGTGTCTACACAAAGGAACAAACTTCAAGCACTTAAAACTGTTCTTGTTAACTTATTTATGACATATCTAAAAACCACAACATTAAATCAACAATACATTTAACTTAGGTTAACAAAATTAGTGTGGATCAGATAATGCGGAAGACTCTTTAGATAACTGGTTTAATAAAATAATACTTATACCTGTCCACCAAAACCAAGTCATCTCTCAGGAGAGCACACTTTGCCTTGGGCCAAAAGACATGGACAAGACAGCCAGCTTCCAAATCTTTATCCATATGAAGCGCATGGGCAAGTTGATTAACAGTCTGTGAAAAATGCAAAGCATCAGAAAAAGAAAGATACTTAGGTCTGCAATAACAGCCTTAAAAAAAGAAAACTAAAGCCAAGACTTTTTGAATAGATCATTGATAAAAGGTTTCAACTTATAGCTTAAATACTGTGAATCATTTTTTCAAATGCCTTCTTTCCATCCAGGGCCTTTAACATCCCTTAGTGTCTAAACAATCATTTTTCTACACTTTGAGAAAAAGACAGGACTCTCCTTGGAGTGGTGGTATTCCTTATATGGCTGGAGGGTTAGCACTGAGTGTTAATGTACTTCTTCAAATGCTACGAGGCCAGCACACTACCTCTCACTGTATTTAAAGGGTAATTATTTTAAATACACTTTATGGATTAAAATGAGCATTTCTGAACTTCATGCCGAACAAGCCAGACTGGTTTAAAAAAACAAAACAAACAACAGTTGGTAATAACTGAAGTATGGGAACCCAAGGCGAGATTATAATTAGCTCTCCATCATCCTTTAACATGGGTTTAATAAATCAAAATAAATGTTTAAGTACGCAAAATGTTTAAAAAGTAAACCAGAGGCATATTTTTCTGAATTTACATAGTAAGTTTTTGGAAGAAAATGGTCCATGTGTATTTTTCAAATGTGAGCCTTCTAGAGCTTTGAAAAGAAGTTATAGAACTTAGTGGTGGTCCTACATACACAACCACTCAATAGAGTAAGGTACAAATGAGCTGTTTACATGCCAGGCCTAAGAAAGTGCTATGGACTTTGTTTTAGTTTTATTTTGTTATTTCAGTGCTGGAAGAATGACTTTGAAATACTAAATAAATTTGGTTTATGTTCCCCATACTTAAAAATGGTAAGTGTTAAATATTGCACCTAACAAAATGGCCCTTTTAATACTAGGTTTCCAAGCACCTGCTTCTTAACCATTGAAAAAACTATACCTTGACACTCTTCTTTTCATCTGATCCTTCAGTCATGAGATAAGCCTTATCACCATCTGTTCCTTCTACACTGAGAAAGCAATTCGTTGTGTGACCAATCCCACTAGGAAGGACCTTATCCCACAACATTGCATTAATGACAGAACTCTTTCCACTGCTTGTTCTAGAGGAAGAGAGAATATAAAAGTATTTAAAGCAAGGCATACAGAAAACCAAACACACCTTTGCTTTAGATTGTATTCTCCCTACTTAATTAGGCCCAGATTCTTCAAGTTGTTCCTCATGGCATACCCTTGTGTCCATACAGCACAGCTTGCAGGAATAGAGCCTAAGGACAGGTCTCTATATATACATACATACACACACACACACACACACACACACACACACACACACAAAGTTTCCCAGTATAGGTATACTGGCAAACCCTCCTAGTGTAGATATAGCTTATACCAACAAAAAAGCCCTTTTGACAGTATAGCGTATACTGGTGTGGCACACAAAATAAACTACATTGGCAAAAGCACTTTTATTTTAGTATAACTGAATCTACAGTAGGACTTTTGTCAGGAAAAAAAAAAAAAAAAAAAAAAAAAAAAAACACCCCCCTCCCCCCCCCCCAAACACCACACAAAAAGTCACAACCTTAACCAACATTACTATACCAGCAAAAGTTTTAGTGTAATCCTGGTCCTAGAGGTCAAAACGGAGACCGCCTTTTATTCTGTGTTTGTTGTGTGCCTATCACAATAGCACCCTAATCCTGACTGAAACGTCCAGGCACTACCCTAATACAAATAACTTGATAAAAATAATAAATTCAGCTACTTTTCAAAAACAATTTTCATTCCAAGGTAAAGTCTTACAGTCAAATATGACCACTCAGATCTCCTTAATGTAAGATAACCGTCTCAACTGGAGGAAGATCTTCCACATTTTATTGTGGAAGATCTAACTCATCTTTTCTTTTTTAAATTGTAAAATGCATTTCTCTAACAGTAATTCCAGTTTATTTTAATACAAAATTCCTCTTTGTTAGATGATAGAATTTAGCTCTAACCTTATTTTGGATGAAAGACATAACACAGACATTTAGTTAACTTGGCTAACAGGTCTGTTTGTTAACTCAGTACACTAAAGGAATTAAAAACGCATTCTCAGCTATGTCCTACTTTACACTAGCCTTCCACTCATCACGCATAAGGATTTGGGGCTTAACTATTAAGCAACGGAAGGAAACCTGTGTAGACACTCATGCTAATCAAGTATCAGAGGGGTAGCCGTGTTAGTCTGAATCTGTAAAAAGCAACAGAGGGTCCTGTGGCACCTTTAAGACTAACAGAAGTATTGGGAGCATAAGCTTTCCCAATACTTCTGTTAGTCTTAAAGGTGCCACAGGACCCTCTGTTGCTCATGCTAATCAGTTTCTTTTAGATATCATGCCTTAAAGAGTGGTTTAACATGCAATAGACAGTAGTCTGAAAATTTATTAGAACACGCCTATTTGCCAACATTTACAGAATTCATTCAAAATACAGCACTAAAGTCAAATTTTAACCAGCCTGTCACTCCCCATGCCGTAACCCCTCCAACCCTTTGCAATGGCAACTTTCTGTCAGGCACCATACCTATATATTTCTTCAAGTTGTAATTCTGTGAAATTTCAATACCTTGAAAAAGCTATTTTTTCTACCTAGTCAGTTAAGTATTCCAAATGCAGTAATACTGAATTCCAGAAAGTCTTACACATATGCTTCACTTTACCCACGAGTAAGTCCCATTTGCTTCAGAAGAACTACTCATGTAAACAAAGCAAAGCATCTGCAGGAATCAGGACCTTAAGATTGCTCTTCACCATTTATAGTGACTTACTATTCTACATTTCACTCACAGCATACAGTGAAAATAAGTCTTATGAACTTCACCTTCATCTCTGCTCAGATCCAGTTTCTAGTAGTCGTGCACTAACATGAAGCGGCAAAATTTGGCTTACAAACATTGAATGGGAATGCTTCAATCAAAATAAATTTTTTAGTGAAAGTTTTTTTAAAAAGTCATTAAAACTTTTCTATTAATATTAAGTTTTTCAACCCCCCCCCAACCCCTAGCAACACATAACCAACATTTGTACTTGAATACCTGAAAGTATCCCTTAAAATAATGTTTAATATTTTCCTCAGTATGTTAAATTGAGGAACTGAACTATTTCAATTGCAACACTTATAGAGCCTGTTGTTGCAGTTACCTGCCTACTGCAGTATGTATTAAAAAAGTAAAATTGAGATGATCACTAACTGCTCATTATTAAGTATTTCCCAACACTTGAAAATGTTATTTTTAGAACAGGAGAAGAGTTCTAAAAGAGCATTTTCTTCCAATATTTTGGGAATGTTACCTAAATGGGGAAGACGTTCTGCAATCAAGATTTGTAACCAGCATTCTTCCAAATTAAGTGTGAGTTAACTATGAATTTCACAGGACCCTAAGTAATTTCAAATATTCATACTTGCTTGTAAATCACATAGCACAGTTAGTGTTATAACAAATAATCATGACTAACTTCACACTAGCTAGAAACTTTATTTTAAAAATATCTGCCCGTTTTCTACTGGTTTCTCTCAGTTGCTTATGTACAGAAACACAGGCAAACACTTCTTTGTTTTTCAGGGTCATTAACATTTAACACAAACCAGAATCCTTAAAAGAGTGAGGAAATTAAACAAACAAGAACACCACAAAGTTAAAGCAAAACTGTGGTAAGAGGATGCTGGCAATCCAAAGATACTCTTCAGTTAAACAATGGCGCTACACAGAGAATCACACTATGAAAAGTTTCATGGAAATAATTAATCATTCCATTGAATTTTGCCAGTGGAAAGCATGTGACATTATGTACGTAATTAAGCTGCAGTTATAGAGCAGGATGGCATCAAAGGAAGATTCAACAGTGAATAGACAAGTGTGAAGGTGTCGTTATACAACATTAATGCCTATGTTAAATGCCTTTTTTGTTTTAGTTTTCACCAAAAAGGTTAGAACCAATCTGACTACTAACATAGTGACTATCAATGTAAATGGGATAGGATCTAAAGCTATAATAGGGAAACAACAAGTTAAGAATTACTTAGGCTATGTCTACACTAGCACTTTTGTCGGTATAACTTATGTCACTTGGGGGTTTGAAAAAAAACCACCCCTCTGAGCGACATAAGTGACACTACCAGAAGCTTCGGTGTGGACAACGCTATATCGGCAGGAGACTCACTCCCGACAACATCGCTATGCTGCTCGATGGGGGCGGTTTAATTATGTCAAAAGGAGCTGTGCCGCTGCAAGGTCTCCAGGGTAGACGTGTCCTTAGACGAGTTAGATGTCTTCAAATTGGCAGGACCTGATGAAATACATTCTACAACACTTAAGGAACTGGCTGAGGAGATCTCTGAACCATTAGCAATTATCTTTGAGAACTCATGGAGGACAGGAGAGATCCCGGAAGACAGGAAAGGGCAAACGTAGTACCTATCTATAAAAAGGGGACTAAGGACAGCCCAGAGAATTATAGATAGCCAACTTAACTTTGGTACCCAGAAAGATAATGGAGCAAATAATTAAACAATCAATTTGTAAGCTCCTAGAAGATGTTAAGTAACAGTCAACAAGGATTTGTCAAGAACAAATATCAAACCAACTGAATATCCTGCCTTGACAGGGTAACAAGCCTTGTGGATGGGGGAAAGCAGTAGATGTGATATCTCTCAATTTTAGTAAGTCCTTTGATACTGTTTCACATGACCATCTCATAAACAAACAATATAGCCTAGAGCAATGTTTCTCAAATGCGGCCACCAGGGCCTTTTCTTGTGGCCACAGCCATCTGGTCTGTGATTGGGGGGGGAAGGGAGGGATGCAAAGCAGTGGACCCTCTCACAGGGCTGCCAGCAGCGGTTGGGCCCTACCCCCTTCCAGAAAAACAAACGCTGGAGGTGCAGGCACCTGGTGAATTCCCCACTTTCCCGGGGGTAGAGGAGGCAGGCTTCGGCCATGCGGCTTTGGGCTCCGTCCAGACGGTGGCAGGCTCTGGTTCCAGGCTCCAGCCCCAGGCTCACTACCCCTGCCATCATCCCTGGACCCCACTGCCTACCTGCCCACGTCCCCATCCAGGGCTTAGTTTATCGCAGGGCTTCCTGAGGCTGAGTAAATCTGCTGTGAAAAGTGATATTAACAAACATCACTTTTCACAACAGAAGACTTACTAGCTAGCAAGTCTTGGGGGGGAGCGGTGGGGAGCGCAACTAAAAAAAGCAAAAGAAACAACAACAAAAGACAAGAACATGCAAAGTGCCTTATTTGTGTTTCTAGTCTGTTTAGGTCCTATAAAGAATAAAGACAACTATAAATTATTTTTATTACTGAGTCTGAAAAAACCCCTACATAAATAAATTACAATATTTGGACATGTATATGTGCATATTTATTTGTTTTCCCTAAAGTTAATTAAATATTTTAGGAAAAATTGTCAGCGCGGCCACCAGCAAGAGTTGGTGGCCGCACTCTGAGGCTACCAAAAAATTTGTTGAGAGACCCACTGGCCTAGAGGAACTACTATAAGGTGGGTGCACAATTGGCTGGAAAACTATACTCAGAGTAGTTATCAATGGTTCACAGTCAAGCTAGAAAGGCATATCGAGTGGGATCTCACAAGGATCTGTCCTGAGTCCCGTTCTATTCAATATAGTCATAAAATGATTTGGATAACAACATAGGGAGTACATTTATAAAATCTGCAGACGATATCAAGCTTAGAGAGGTTGCAAGTGCTGTGGAGGACAGGATTAGAATTCGTACCAAACTGGAAAAAATGGTCTGAAGTAAATAGGATGAAATTCAATAAGGACAAATGCAAAGTGCTACACTTAGGAAGGAACATTCAATTGTACAAATACAAAATGGGAAATGAGTGCCTAGGAAGGAGTACTGCAGAAAAGGATCTAGGGGTTATACTGGATCACAAACAGAATGAGTCAAGAATATATTACTATGGCCAAAAAAGCAAACATCATTTTGGGATGTGTTAGCAGGATTGTTAAAAGCAAGACATGAGAAGTAATTCTTTCACTCTGCTTAGCACTTAGAAGGCCTCACTGTATCCAGTTCTGGGCTCCACACTTTAGGAAAGATGTGAACAAATAGGAGAAAGTCCAGAGAAGAGCAATAAAAATGATTAAAGGTCTAGAAAACATGATCTATAAAGAAAGATTGAAAAAACAAAACCAGTTTAATCTGGAGAAGAGAAGAAGGAGGGGGGAACATGACAACAGTCTTCCAGTATGTTATAAAAAGAGGCGGGTGATAAATTGTTCTCCTTAACCAATAAGGACAGGACAAGAAGTAATGGGCTTAACTTGCAATAAGGAGATTTAGGTTAGACATCAGGAAAAAAAATTCCTAACTGTAAAGGTAGTTAAGCAGTAGAACAAAATTACCTAGGGAAGTTGTGGAATCTGTGTCACTTGAGGTTTTTAAGAATAAGTTAGACAAACAGATGTCAGGGATGATCTAGTTATTACTTAGTCCTGCCTCAGTGCAGGGGACTCACTAGATGATCTGTCAAGGTTCCTTCCAGTCCTACATTTTTGTGATTACATTGGGAACAAATTGTTACAAGGTGTTATGCAAAATCCAAGTGCATATAACTTGAAGAGATAAACACTAAACCTTGAAATAGAAAATCCAATTTATTTTGGTAATTAAGTTCATTACCTGCCAAAAAATGCAACTTTCATGTGTCTCCGTGAAAGCACCTCACCGATGTCTGCCAATTTGTTTTTATATGCCTGTATTTTCACCAGTTCTTCTTTAGTTGCTACATATTCAAGTTCTGGGTTCCTATATGTTGCTATACATAAGAAAAGATTATTACAAAAGAAATCATGAGACCAATTTATGTTCTAAGGCATTAGCTGTGGATCAACACTATATTATTTAATATATGCCATCAAAGAGCTATCTACAAACTCTGATATTAGTCATGGTCATTTAACAGGTTGAGACAGGCATTAGTAAAACACAAAGTTGCTAACTGCATGTCATATACCTACAGTATATCTCTTAACTAAAACATAAGAATTTTGGAATTGGAATAAGCCACAGCAACACACTGGACTAAATTTGCTAAGTCATTGGTATCACTTGTCTCCTGCTTTTTTGACCATTCCTTGTCATCCCCTCTCCTTCAGGCGGGGAGGGGGCGTGGGATGAGGAGGAATCAACCCCATTCCATAAACACTATTGATTTTAGAACATGTCTTCACTGCAGAGTTAACTTGGGTGATTGGCACTCAGAATAGCTTAGCCCAGCCCAGTTGTGAGTAGCCACCCTTGAGTTACTGGGTCCACACTGGTGCTACACGCACTCCTATGTGTTGCTAGGACTTTTGGGGGGCATATCCCATAGTTCTTTGTTCTGCAGCACGTTGAGCTGTGCAATGATTCTTTCCCAGTGAATTGTGGGAGAACTTGTTTCTCTTTCTGGGCATAAGGGGGGAAACTGTTACAGCCCTGGAAGACTATCAACACTTCAAGTGGTTTAGCATGCATCCTCACTGCCAACTGACTGGATACCAGCCCGAGTGAAAGGCTCACTCTGGCTTTTGCCTACAGTCCCAGAACAGCCAGCTATCCTGGACTGAAATCACCATCAAACTCTGCTCAGAGGTTCGTAGATGGGAACAGGCGGGAGGTTAGGGGAAACACTTGAGTAAAAACCCAGATTAACTCTACAGTGATGACATACCCTTAGTGTTGGCTAGCACAAGTAGTTTCATTAAAGTCAATGGAGCCAAAGGTGCTTAGCAGTTCTGAAAATCAGCTTTTATTTAGGTGCGTCTTTAGGCATCCAAGTTTGAAAGTGTAGGTTTAAGTGACTTTCCCAAGATTATACAACAAATCAAGCAGGGCAGAGAATAAACTCTAGGTTTCCCAACTTGCTGCACCATACCACCTCCCCTTACAATACCTGTATATATCCTAAGATTCTGGCATTGAAGAATGTATGATTACAATTAATTGAAGAATGCATGATTACAATTAATGTATGTGTTACCATAGTACCCAAAGACCCGATAAGGAGCAGGGACGCATTGTGCTAATTTCTATACAAGTACAAAGACGCAAGGTCAATGCCCCAAAGATGAAAACTAACCTTCAACAAAACTTGATCCTTCAGTGACATAATCCAGCAATTGGTTAAAGATAGTAGTAATTGTCTTTTTAGCCAGCACAAAGTGTTTCAGGGGGGAGGCAGTAGTTTCTGCCATTACGCAACTGTAAGAGAAATTATGTACAAATAACTGAGAATCTCTCTAGAAATTACAAGTAGGAAACACATCAAGTTCCCTCTCAATGAAAGTAATTGAAACGTGAGTTTTAAAAATAAATACATCAGCTTCGCTGTTAGTTGAATTTGGTTTTACTGTTCTTTAGGCTTTCTAATCTAGCAGCAATAGAAATTGCAGATTACGAAGAGAGAGAAAATTGTGATTTTTAAAATATATCCTCTCTCCTGTCCTACAAATACATAGATTAATCTACTTTATTTGTTTACATAAAAGCTTATTTACATACATGCCAGAAAGAAGTTATTAGATTTGGTTTGGATATTTAGTCAGCTCAACAAATTATCTTAGGATGTCAGCTGGAACACACTTTTTTAAACACCCGGTTTGGTTCCATCCCCAGTGACCAGGTTATCTAGAAACAGGTTTAGCTGGAACTGCATTTAAGTACGGTACCTTAACTTTGTTCTGAGACCTTGTAGCTAGAGCCCTACAAATGAAAGACTCTCTATCTTGTCACCAAGCCATCTAGCCTCCTAGGTGCATGTACGCAAGAACTTGTACGCTTTTCCCCCCAGCAACGTAGCTGCACGAGCAAAGAGCTGAAAAAAAATCAGACCACATCTTCAAGACATTTCCCCAGCTCCTTTCTTCCCTATGCTCAAAACTATAAATTAATTCATGGGCCCATAACTGATATTACCTCACTCTCACCTTGTCTCTTTAATGGGCCAGCGTCAGACAATTTAAAAACCAACAGTGACGTTTTAGGACTTAAAAAAAAAAAACAAACGAGAAAGGCTTTACGAAGCTTCAAACTCACGTTTCTCCTGCTTTGTTATCAGCTATGTAGATTTAAACTTTCCTCTGCAGGGTTTGCTGCTCTGTGCAAAGGGCAGGACAGCCACTTGATGAAAATGACTAGAAACAGCAGGGTAAGTAACCAGCTTCTCCCGTCTGCCCGTGGAGGGGGAATGCACAGCGGGACAGGCCGGGGCACGAATAATCCGCTCGCTGCTGGCCCCGAAAGAGGGTCGCTCGGCTAGGAGCGAGTCACACCAGGCTACGAGCCCGGGGCAGGGAGCTACGGAGGCAGCCGACCCCAGTACCGGGAGAGCAGAAAAAGGTGGGTGACGGGGGGCAGGGTTCCCAACAGGCAAGTGACTGACTGACTGGCTGGGGGGTGTCCTAAGGCGCAGCCCCCAGGGGCTCCCTGGCGGTTCGCATGGGGCCTGGCGCCCGGCCAGAGCCGCTCCCTGCCTCGCGGGGGCATGAATGGAGGTCGCGCTGCCCCATGTCCCTACCACCTCCTGCTCCCTCAGGCCCACTTACAGCGCCCCAGGTTCGCTCGCTCCCCCGTTACCCAGCAACCGCTGCGGCTGGGGGGCCCGCCGCACCTCCTTCCTCCTCACCCCGTGCGCGGGGGCGGTGGACATCACTTCCGCTTCCTCTGCCCTTAGCGTGCCCCCGCCGTAGGCAAGGGCCGCCATCTTGACCAAGGGCAGCCGGCTGAGGACGACCGGAAGTGACGCCGAAGGCAGTGGCCATCTTTATTGAAGGCACACAGCCTGCGAGAAAGAGTAATACGTGCGACGAGGCAGCCGCTGTCTTCACGGAGGGCACGTGAAAAATCCCATGCCAGAACTCTCGGCCTCAGCACCATCTTTACTAAGGGTCACAGAAGGAGATGGAAGCGCCTTTCTTTATTTAAAATGGAGGCTAGTTACCCCATCCCCCCACCTAACTCCCCCCAGGGGAGGAGGTTTTAGCACCATAACCCCCCTTTCACCCTCCCCCACACCCACCCATCCCCTGGGCTGTCTCACTCCATCCTTCTCACAGCAGTCTTGCCCAGGCCCCTAGCTCTCCCCCAGGGCTGTAACAGACTTGCCCAGCCAGAAGCCCTACCTGTACTCCAATGACAGAGGGTGGTTGTGGGGCTGAAGGGCCCCAGCTCCATCCCTCCCCCAGCCATGGCTCTGCACACCAAGCCACCTGCTGCTGACCAGATCCAGGGTGATCACTGCATGCTGGACCCAGCAGGCCATACACGTTGCCCAGGTTAGGCCATTCAGTCCCACGCAAAAAGACTATCTTTGATTCTAGACCAGTGGTTCTCAAACTTTTGTTTTCCCTCCATGGACCACTTGAAAATTGCTGAGGGTCTCGGTGGACACGTAATGATCTTGCCAAATGTTATTTCTACTGTTAGCTAACTATTGTAAAGCGCTTTGGATAAGACTGCTATATAAAAAAGCCTTAATAATTAACGTTTTCCCCCTACAAATAAAAGCACACAACTCATATTTTAATATCAGTAGTCTTACCTTTCTAATGTGATGGATGTGCCCTCTCTCCCCTGCCGCAACAGCCCCCGAGATGGGGCTGGAAAGAAGTGGGGGGTCTCTTCACTGCCACAGCCCTGAGGCTGGGGAAAATCGCCTCTTTCTCTGGCTACCACAGCCCTGCACATCCCAAATTCCCCCCACCCCCTCTTCTCACCCCACTGCCCGCTCCCACCTACTCCTTCCCTCCAAGGCCACCACTTCACCTTACATGTGTGTCTTCTCCAAGGTCCAGGCCCCTAATTAGTGGAGCCACGCCTGTGCAGCTCCACTAATTAGGTGGGTGGCCCTTCATTCCCTCATGTGCAGCTGCCCAGGCACACACCTTAGAGGGAACTTATCTGCGGACCACTTGAATGATGCTCCACGGACCACAGTTTCAGAACCTCTGTTCTAGACCATAAGTTGTCTGCATAACTGCAGTATTGCCAGCCCCAAAAGTTCAACACTCATCAGTCAGACTACCCAAAAAAAAAAATTTTTTTAATTAG